CCTAACCCCACAGCTCTGGCCCACCAATTTGACACGATGTCCCTCCGTGAACCCACATGGCTTATGGACACCGGTGCCTCTCACCATATTGCCTCAGATCCAGGTACTATTTCTCATGTTTATTCTTCACCTTTAAATTCACCACCACTCATCACAGTAGGAAATGGATCTAAACTATGCTCTACGGCTATGGGCAAACATATTTTTCCCACTACCCCACCCCTATCCCTCAATAATGTCCTCATCTCCCCTCATATCATTCATAATCTTATCTCTGTTCATCAATTTACCCATGATAATAATTGCTCCATTGAATTTGATTCTCGTGGCTTTTCTGTGAAGGATCTTCAGACGAGACCAGTGATACATCGCTCTAATAATGACGGTCCACTTTACCCCCTGCGTCCTCACACTCCTGTTGCCCAGGTCCACGCTACCTCCGTTGACACACAACGTGGCATCGTCGCCTTGGTCATCCCAGTCTGGCTGTTCTTTATGAAGTCCCTTTCCTGTCTTCTCTTATTAATCATAATAAAAATTTTAAGAACACTTTATGTCATGCTTGTTAGCTAGGCAAGCATGTTCGCCTTCCTTTTACTTCCTCTCTTCGAATTTCAAGTTTTCCATTTCAATTAATGCATACTGATTTATGGCAATCCCCTGTTCCCAGCATTACTGGTTTTAAATTTTACATGCTTCTCCTGGATGACTTTTCTCACTATTTATGGGTTTTTCCTTTACGCCACAAGTCTGATGCTTTTTCTCAACTAACAAATTTTTTAGCGTATGTACATAATCAATTTAATACCACCATTAAGGCAGTTCAATGTGACAACGGAACAGAATATCAAAACACTCCTCTTCAAAATATTTTTAATTCACTAGGTATTATTTTTCATTTCTCCTGCCCTCATACAAGCCAACAAAATGGATGCGCAGAGCGCACGATCCGAACCATAAACAACACCATTCGCACTCTACTCTTCCAGGCCCAATTACCTCCTAAATATTGGGTTGAAGCTCTCCACATGGTCTGCCATCTCTTTAACCTTATGCCCACCACCACTCTCCAAAAACGAACCCCCCACGAAGTATTATTCCAGATGGCACCGTCCTACTCTCACTTACGTGTGTTTGGTTGTCTTTGCTATCCAAACACCTCGGCCACCGCTCCTCACAAACTGTCTCCCAGATCAGCCCGATGTGTTTTTCTTGGCTACCCATCCAACCAACGTGGTTTTCAATGCCTAGACTTAGACACTCACAAAATCATTATTTCTCGTCATGTCGTCTTCGATGAAACCACTTTCCCTTTTAATCATGACACAACCCCCTCTTCTCTTCAATTTCTTGACTCCATGGAGGATACCATTCCCTATCACCTTCACCGAATTTCTCATCCCCCCCCACCATCCCTTCGGCCCACCCCATGCTCGGCTTCGGCCCAACCATCTCCCTCCCCCTTGGTCCAACCCAGCACTCCCCTACCCAACCCACTAACAGCCCAACAATCGACTCACCCATCTTCCTCTCCGCTGGCCCAAACCGAACACCAACTCCCTCTTCACCCGTCTGCCTACTCTCGTTCCTCGGCCCAGCCCACCAACCCTGTCACAAGCAACCCTCCAACCAACACCAATCCAATGACCACTCGAGCCAAATCTAGAATCTCTTACCCGAAAACCATTTTAAACCTCAACACTTCAGCCACAATCTCCCCACTTCCTCCAACATACTGTAGTGCGCTCAAAGATCCAAACTGGTATGATGCAATGTGTGATGAATTTAATGCACTGATTAAGAATAACACATGGAAATTAGTACCCCCTCCCCCACCCAAAATATCCTATCTGGCAAATGGCTTTTTCGACACAAATTTGGCCCCACAGGTGATCTGTCCAGGTACAAAGCTCGTTGGGTTGTCCGAGGTTTCAACCAACGTTTTAGCGTCGATTACAATGAAACGTTCAGCCCGGTTATCAAACCGGCCACCATCCGCATTGTCCTCAGCGTCGCCCTCTCTAGGGGCTGGCCCATCCAACAGCTGGATGTCAAGAATGCTTTTCTTCACGGTCACCTCTAGGAAACTGTGTATGCCGGGCAACCCTCTGGTTTTGAGGATCCCTCACGACCACACCACATTTGCAAGCTCAAGAAGGCTCTATATGGCTTGAAACAAGCACCCCGCTCTTGGTATTTACATTTTGCAGGTTTCCTTTGGCATATTGGATTTCAGAATTGCAAAATAGATACTTCTCTCTTCGTCTAAAGGCAGGGGTCACACATGGCATATCTACTCTTATATGTGGATGACATTATGTAACGCCCCAAAACATACCCTAGAATTATTAATGAATAAATAATCAATTAATCACAATTATTTCAATTAAAATAAATTATTGTTGGGCTTTAGGCCGATATTAAATTTGTTTTGACATCTAATATCAAAATCTGGATAAGTATCATAGAGATAAATCCAATATGTGGACTATTTGTGTGGTCTTGATTGGGAACCTGAGTACAGACCCAAATCAAGAATAAATAAAAAAATTTGTTTAGAATGTGAATATTGAAATGATTTGTTGAAATAAATCATTCGAACAAATGATATGAATTAAATGTGAGAAACCTTTTTGAATAAAGATCAACTAAATCAATTTTTACTCTGTCAAAGTCAAACACCCAAAAATATGATGTCAGAAAAAGTATAACCAATAAATATAAAAATTATATCGTTGGATAGAGTTTAACTGTTCGATCGCAACGGTGCAAACGGAATTCAATTCGGAGAAAGTTGGACCAAAAAGTGTACCCCGACTGGAACCAAATTTGTCCCAATCAGGGAGTGGCATGTAAAATCCTACAAATCGCCGCTCACTCCACTCAGCCGATTACACAGGGAAAGGAAGCAACGTAAATTTGGCTCCTTCCCTCCCCATCACCATTCCTATATAAGAGAACCCAAGCTCCTTCATTTCTTCACCAAACCTCTACATTCTTTATTCTATTCTGTTCTTTGTTGAGAGAGGAGTACAGTGGTGCTATCAATTTGGTGAGAGATCGCCGGAGCTAACCACAAACCTCGCCGGAAGTTTCGCCGGAAAATATCCAAAACCTTCGTTAAGCTTCGAGGTAAGCCCGCAGATATATCTAGTGACTAGAATGTTCATATAGATCGTTTTTACGTTCATAAACGGTCGTTTGGTTGAGTTTTGTGTTTGACATGCTTGAAGAACCAAGAATCATAAACCATGAAATTGATGTTAAAACTATAAATTAATGATGCCAAAATGATCCATGAACCTTGGAGAACATCTCTATATAGTTTCGTTGAAATTCGGTAACTAAAAACGGTATTTTCGAAATTGGACCCGAACGAAGAAGAAGATGAACAGTAACCAAAACCAGACTGTCTGGATCGATCCAATGGCCTGGATCGATCCTCAGGGACTATTTTCTCTACATATGGATCGATCCAGAGGGCTGGATCGATCCCCCGAAGTTCTGATCCGAAAATTTGTCCGAAATTGCTATTTTTGAGCCCTAAAATCCTATTTTTGATACCAATGGATTATGACCATTATAAAAATGATTTACCATAATAAAAATGATGTTTTTAACAACTAAAAATGTTATGTGTTGCATGACGGTAAGTTCGGGTGTTAACACTCGAAGCTAGGCCGCTATTTATTATCAATTGTTGTGTTAATTGATGATTATGATAAATGAATATTATGGATGATTATGGGTATTGAACCTACTGATTAAAATAAGTATTTATGATTGAATCATGAATAAAATGAATACATTTATAATTATGAAATGATTTTTAGTATTAAGGGTATCTAGAAGAACTCTAAGGTATACACATTTAAAAAATTGATGTTAAGGCTATTTAGAAAACCTCTAGAATAGATCTCATATTAGTATGGATTTGTGAAACATGAATATTTGATGAATTAGATAAAAATGTATAAACGGGATTCGTAGACCAAGCTAGAGGATTACTCGTTTGGAAATGCCCGATCCAATGTTGATCAATCACTATATTGTTGTTGCCTTAACTGACTACAGTTAAGTGTCCGAAATCATTTGCCTTAAACTAATGATAGTTTAAGTGTCTGATTGCCTTAACTGACTACAGTTAAGTGTCCGAAATCAATTGCCTTAAACTTATGATAGTTTAAGTGTCTGATCACTAATTACCTTTAAAGAATCTGGTTATGGAAGTTATGATTTGGCCTTAGACTAAGAATAGCTAAGAGCATTATTATGATTTGGCCTTAGACTAAGAATAGCTAAGAGCATTATTATGATTTGGCCTTAGACTAAGAATAGTTAAGA